CCAATCAATGGTCAGAACCACCTGAGTAATAGAGAACGCACACCCCATTCCCACTCGCAGCTGACAGAATGAATGAGCTGTGAACCAGCTTTACTGACAGGATGAATGAGGCTGTGGGAACCCAGCTTTGCCAGGTCAGCTGCAGTGGGCTGCGCAGTGCACAGCCCATCACTGCTTATGTAACCATAACAACCATACCAATATAGCCCCTTTAAATTCATTCACTGATCAATAACTTTATTTTACTTAAAAGAGATTTAAAATATAGCATATGTCTGTAGAGTACTGAAAAATTTTGGAAGGGGATGAGACAGTATATTCTTATGAAAAAAGATTTATTTGGGTTCAAAATATACAGTTATTCCTTTAAAAAGATGCTGTGCTGGAGGCAGTGGCTCACGCTTGTATTAGCACTTTGGGATTACCAGACTGATCACTTGAGGTCAGGAGGTGAACCACTCTGGCCAACATGGTGAAATCCCATCTCTACTAAATATACAAAAATTAGCCAAGCATGGTGGCCTGTGCCTGTAGTCCCAGCTACTTGGGAGGCTGAGGCAGGTGGATCGCTTGAACCCGGGAGGTGGGGAGTTGCAGTGAGCCGTCATCAACTGCACCACCCTTGCCACTCCAGCCTGGGCAAGTGAGACTCCATCTCAAAAAAAAAAAAAAAAAAAAAAGATGCTTCAAGATTGCTGCTTTGAGTTGTAAATCTAGTAAGAAAATGTTCTATAAATTCTAGCAGTTTGGCAAGAATTTTAACTGCCCAGCCTGTGTGTGGTGGAATAACTCTAAGACCACTGCTTACCCTGTCCCCAACTGAAGAAACAGAGAAGGAGAAAGAGATTAAAGTCAAAGTGTTTAAACTTTTTGAAAGTCTAAGCGTTCAGCAGGGTTGGGGCTCCGGCCAGCGTAGTAAGAAAATTAGACACTAGAGGCTGGGCACGGTGAAACCGCCTGTAATCCCAGCACTTTGGGAGGCCAAGGTGGGCCAAGATCACAAGATCAGGAGATCCAGACCATCCTGGCTAAAATGGTGAAACCCCATCTCTACTAAAAATACAAAAAAATTAGCTGGGTGTGGTGGCGAGCGCCTGTAGTCCCAGCTACTTGGGAGGCTGAGGCAGGAGAATCACTTAGACCCAGGAGGTGGCAGTGCAGTCAGCCGGGAGTGCGCCCACTGCTCTCAGCCTGGGTGACAGAGCCAGACTCCGTCTCAAAAAAAAAAAAAAAAAAAAAAAAAAAAAAAAAAAGACAGGAGGAAGAAAAGAAAGAAAATTAGACACTAGCGTCAAAACCAGAGGGAATAAAGTCATTGCTACACCACTAAATTCTATCATCTCCAAACAGTTAAAATCACATACACAGCAGTAGAAAATGCACCTCCAGAAAGACCTCCAGCACCAACCGCATGGCAATTTGTTTCTTTAACAGAGCTAATTCCCACACAATGGGAAAGGAGAAGAACGGAAGAAAGGAAGGTACTTCCATTGGGGTTCAGGCCTTGAGCAAAGTCCAGAAACACAAAATAAAGCTCAGCCACTCCTGAGGGAAATGGGCTGGGCACGCCTACTGGAGCAGTACACCAGTACCATGGAGCACACAACCCAAAAACAACAACAGAAACAAAACACAAACCAGGTGAACACGGCATGAATTCTGTGCTTAAAGGCAGCTGAGCAAACTGTCGTCACCGGTGAACACAAGCTCCGCCAATACTGCTACTTTTATTTTAATCTAGTGCAGAGGCTTTTGGAGGATAATTTCAAATCATAATTCTCTCTCCTACCACACTGTTACAGAGCCGTCCCAATCCGCACAAACACACACAACATCCAAGAGTCATCTCACATTTCCATTTCATACGAATCATTAAGAAGACTTCAACCCAACACAAATGGATGAAATAGCACCTGCAAGAGCTTCTTCCGCAAGGGCAGTTTCCACCCCTGCAAAGTGGCCATTTATCATTACGGAGTGTAAATGATTGCTTTGCTCATTTCTAAATTAGATTAGTACTTATTTCCTGATGATATAATTTATTAATTCAACATGAAAACAAAAATTAAGTCACAAAATAAACTAAGTCACACCAAAATAGGTAGAAGACAGGCATGTTTCCTAGCGTGGATTAAATGACAAGCTCCTTGCTCTTACTATGGAAAAGTATTTTCATCTCTCTTTTTCATGGAAGAGTTTAAATAGGGAAAACAAATGCTCACTACTGTCCTTGCAAAAATAAACTCATGAAAACCAGTAAGAGCAGCTGGCTTTAAAGTTTAATAATTATCTGCAAAATTAGGTTTCCAGTTTCACTCAAATTTGTCCTTTTATACTAAATGTGTGACCTGTGGCAATACCTACAGATGCATTCGTCTGTTTTCCTCAAGTAAACAAAATTTACAACAGATCATCTACATTTAAAACTGGATCAGGTTAGGATACTAAATAAAATTCTAATGAAGCAAATCTCAATTATGATCCAGCTTAATATTGCAAATATATCTGCACAGCCTATAAAAATCAGTCTATTTACCTTATATAACCAAATGCCCAACCCCACACACCCATAAAGGAAATACACTTCAGAAACTGCAGACTTCCGTTGTTGAAATAGATACAACACATTTGCCAAGGATTAGCAGAAAGGCAAGCTGACCCCTTACCTGGTAGAGCTTTATGATATGTGGATGGTTCAGAAGCTTCATCAGCTGAACCTCACGATAGATTTTCTCCAAATTGCTTGAATCTAATCGTGTTTTATCAATTATTTTTATTGCAACCTACAGATTTTAAAAGAAAAAAAGGATATTTTGTTTTGTTTTGTTTTTAAAAAAAAAAAAGAAAACCCTCAACCTAATTTTACTAATTTACACATTTCATCTTTTGTAAGTTCAATTTCTCAACGCTTTGTCTACGAAGGATCACAAGAAGTTGAAGGAAACATAACTTAAAGCAACCACTAATGCTTATTTAAAATAATCAAAGAGTTAAGTTAGAAAGTGCATTTAAGTATTTGCAGGTTCACTTTACAGGGCTTAGCTCTGAGTCCATGAACCACTGCACTCTCAGGTTGGTCCTTTCTTTGCCAGTATCCTCTCTGCTTTCTCCCAATATATATGCAAATTACTTACGCAACCTCAAGTATTTTCTTTACCGAACTAAGAAACGATTGCTGTTCACCCACGACAATCAAACCTAGACACCCTGAATCTGCATGAGGTCCACCGCCAAAAATCCAGTCGCCCCAGGCAGTGGGAAGACACCGGCTAGGTCCCGCTGCTTTACGCACCTGCGTTTTGGTGACTCGATGCGCGCCAGCTTCACCGCCGCAGTTGCCAGCTTTACCCAGGGTCCGCTCAATGTCGCAAAACCCACCCGGAGAAGTTTCTGCAGGCCTGACCCTGGCCCGCCGGGTCCGCATGCTGAACTCCGACATGATAACCATGGCTCACGCGCACCTGCGGGGCGCACAGGCTCAGAGCCCACCAGCGCCCCCGCCGCTCGCGGTCAGTCCCACCCGTGCCCGCGGAGCCCCAGTCCCTACGGGACGCGGGGACCTGCTCCACGCCTGTCGCCCTCACTATCACGGACCCCTCCAGCCTTGGAAGTGACCAGAACCGCCCCCGCCTCCGCGGTCAGCACTCACCGGACCCCGACCCTCTGAGCCCGCGGGGCGGACCCACTCCCCGACCCGCCCCCGCCGCCCGGGTTCGGTTCCGTCCGATCCCGCAGGACCCCCTGAAACCCTGCTTCCACACTCACCTCCACCGCCCGCTGTCGGTTCCGTCCCCACCCGACCCCTTAGCACCTCTGGGCGCGGACCCGCTCCACCCCAGACACTCCCAGAGCAGCCATTTAAAAAAAAAAAAAAAAAAAAAAAAAAAAAAGTAGTAAAATACACGTAACATAAAACTTATCATTTTAACCATTTTTGGGTACACAGTTGAGTGGCATTAAGAACGTTCATACTATTATGCACCCATCACCACTGCCCAACTCCGGAACTTTTCATCCTCTTAAACTGCAATTCCCACCCGTTCATCTCTGGCTCAGCAGCCCCTCCCCCAGCCCCCGGCATCCCCCACTCCACCTTGTGTCTCTGTGAATCTGACCCCTCTAGGGACCTCACGTGTGTGTTCTTTTATGACTGGCTTGTTCCACTGAGCACAGCGTCCTCAGGGTCCATCCTCGCTGTAGGCCGTGCCGGGCTTGCCTTTTGTAAGGCTGAGGCCTATCCCACTGCCGGCGGTCGTCAGCTGACGGCCCCTCGGGCTGCCTCCTAGTATGGCTGTCGTGCTGCTGTGAACGTGGGTGTACAAACCTCTCCCGACCTTGCCTTCAGTTCTTCGGGGTACGTACCATTAGGAGGAGCGGCCGGATCATGTGGTGGTTCGAATCTTTTGAGGAGCGGGTACGCTGCTTTCCACAAAGGCTGTGCCATTGACCCTCCCACCAACAGTGCACAAGGGGGTCCACTTTGGTAATGACACCTTAATGGGAGCGGAGAGGTTGAAGAGCTGTTTTTAACCAAAATATCCACCAGGTGCCAACATGAACAAATCATTTGTTCTTACAAGCAGCAATGCGTGCCCTATCGCTAGAAGGTGATGAAGTCTTTTAGAGACCAGGAAATGGTTTGGCTGTGAGATTCTTCCAATAACCGGCTCAGAGAACCTGGCGGAGGACGGGTTAAGGATGGATGGTGCTGGCAGCCCCAGGCGGTGCTGAGACTTTCAGTGACTGAGCCCGGCCACTGGGGAAGAGTCCTGAGGAGGGGGCAGACCACGGGGCCACCTGTGGCTGCCGCAGGGGGAGGGGTCCTCTTCAGACGGAAGGCCGTTAGTTCCCTGCGGTGAGGTGGACTGCAGGAGTTGGCACCACGCCCTCCTCTTTAAGATTTGAAACTTCCACAGGCCTGGAGGATGTGGCCTCTCAGGGAAGCCGCTCGGAAGGAAAGAGCTCCCAGAGAGATGAGAGAGGAAGGGGAAAAGTCGAGGTTTTTTCCTTCCAAATATTTTATTTAAATATTAAATTAAAAAACATACATCAACTAATCATTTGGCATACATTTCTCATGTTAATATAAGAGAGAAAATAATTCAGTTATGGTAAAAACAAAAAACAAAAAACAAACTATGTACATCTCGATCAGATCACGTAGTGTCTTTAAATAGGCCATTGCCTCGCCGTCTGTATTACAGCACTGTCAAGAAATCTACAAAACACATAGCACACACTCTTAAAAAAACAAGAAAAACACGCCTTTAACATCCTCCAAAAGAGGTTCTACAGCAATAAGAAAAAACAAAAACCACTGTGAAAGTAAAGTGCTCGTCATTGCTTCAAAGGGGAAACGCACAATGGTTTCTGAGGCCTTTGATCTGTGGCATTAGAACAGAAGTCATTTTGAAAAGGGGAAGGGGTTTTGTGTTGGAATCAATTGTGCTACCTCTGTAAAAATGAAGGCAAGGGCCTGGCTGCCCCAAGATGGTCTGGATGCTCTCCCATCCCAAAGACTTCTTTATGAGCGAACAGGAGACTTTGGTGTTTTCTCTGCGGCAAGGCACCAGGTCTGCCCTCCAGACAGCCTCTCGTCCAGTCTTTGAAACAGCCACAGAGCAGCAGCAGCAGCAAGAACGGGGGCAGCCAGCTTCCCTGCGGCACGGCACGGCACGGGCGCAGCCCCCGGTGGGCGCCGGCAGCCCAGGGATGCAGCCTCCTGCACTGGGCCCGCCTCCCTACCCTCAAGTAACTGGGTCAATCTTTGGCTTTTAAAAATACCCGCCTTTCCCCTTTCTCAATGCCTCTGTTTAACACTGCAGGGTGTAAGAAGCCGAAGTAGCTGAAGGCACCTGGGCTGGGTTTGAGGGCGGGGACTGGACTCAGGGTGAGTAGGAGCAGCACTGCCTTTGTTGCCTTCCAGAGGCTTCTGGCTGGTGGAGCCCCACGGAGTCCACCTGCCAGAGGTGCGCCCGGACCTGCCAGGTAAGGGCCGCCCCTTCCTGCGGCCTCCACCCCAGTGCTGAGGGAGGGAAGGCCCTAGGGCTCCTTCCTCAACGCACACCTGTGCTGACAGGGACGCTTCTTAACAACACGACTGAGGGAAGCTTAAACCTGGAACACAAACGTGTAGTACAAAATATAACAAATAAGTAGTGTTTACCTGTCTCCCGTGTAGATACATGTACAGGATTTGCTTTAAAAAAAGAAACAAAAACTTGAAAACACTGACCTAAACCTCTCACTTTACCTTCCTTGAACAAAAGCCAAAGAAGAGCCCAGGTAGGGGCGGTCAGGGCAGTCGGGGGGTCCCGGCCCAGGCAGGCATGGCCCTGAGCCATGAGCCCGTCTCCCAGCTGCCCAGCCCTGCAGTCAGCCTCCAATATTGCACAATTTCACCCAAGTCAGGTGTTCTTGTTGGACCCCATCATGAAATGCATCAACGTCATCAGCAGCAGAAACGGGAGGTGCAGCATGAAGAAGCTTCTGGGCTTCTGCAAGGGCGCCTGGGGGCTCAGGGCCAAGGGACCCTCAGGACAGAGTCCCCCGCACTTTGAAGTCACCTCTGCCCTCTTTGAGGTTCTTCCTGCGGTTCCTCCAAAGAGTCCTGGAAAACTAACTCTTGAGTAGTTTATAAAACTTCTCATCTAAAATAAGAAAAACGTGTCTTCCAGGTTTTGATTTCAGGGGAGAGAATTCCTAGAACCTGTAGGTGATCCTCGCCTGGGCTGACCACTTAGAGCTGCTTTAAAACCAATACATGAAGCAGAAAGTTCACAGTTTTCATTAAAGCATAAATCAGGAAGTGGAGAGTGTTAACTAAAGAAATGGATAGTAATCAATGCACGCGTGCACGCGCGCGCACACACACACACACACACGAGCAGACAACGATGCGCCCGCTTGTTTCCGTGGACGTCCGAGGTAATCATCTCAACCACGAGGAACCCAGAGAGAGGGGCCGAGATCCCCATGCCACGGCACTGCAGATGTGTTCCCTCCACCCAGCTCCCCTCCTGCCCCCGCCCCCAAGACACGCCCCTCAATTATCTTTCTTCCTAAAGTTTCCAGTCCCTACTCAAAGTTGAGGTCACTCAGTGCAAGAAAAAAATAAAACAAAAATAAACTAAAAAGCCAAAACGACCTAACGTATTGCTTATTTCGCTTCTAGAAAGTTATTGGCTTTTGAGTCCAGACATCTTCACCTACTCTGAAGTTATTGCTTGTAAGAGTCAGTGTCCGCGCCAGGACGCAGGGCTGCCCTCACTGCACCAGGACAAAGGTCCCCAGGGGGCAGGGCGTCAGGTCCTCCATCTCACAGTCCCCCTGCAGCAGCCCCAGGGGCTCACAACCCGGGGCCAGCCTGGCCAGGCGTGGTGGGGGCGCAGCGGGGAGGGTGGTGGGGCCGGCACCAATGTGCAGGTGTGTGTCCAGGAGCTGCGCCGCCGAGGCCACTGGGGAGACGCCGGTCTGCAGGAGTGGGGGCTGCAGCAGCGGGAGCCCTGACATGAGGAGGGTGCTGGGGAGCGGGGCAGCCCCGGGGCCATCACAGGGGGCGATCACAAACTGGGCGGGGGCTGGCTGGGCGGCCTGTGAGCAGCCGGCCACAGCGGCCGGATGGTGCTGTAACTGGAGCAGCCTGTGGGAACAGAGGACGGGCGGTCACTGCGCCGGCTCGCAGGGTTCTCAGGTTTCCAAGTGCCTGTGTGGCGGGGCCCGCCCATGGAGCTGCCAGCTGCAGCTGCTGAGGGCAGGTGCATGGCTGATCCCTGACTGCTCCCCACCTTTCTTTCTCCACCTGGCTTCTCAGCAACTCAGAGACGTGGCCACAAGGCGTTCTCACTCTGGCCACTTTCATCCACCCAGGGACTCACTCCTGCCACTTTCACCCACCCAGGTACTTTAAAAGACACACCCGCTGCTGCACCCCCATGGTTCAGCACCGAGGACCTGTGCCCCACACACCTCCCTGGCTGGGAGCGGGGCTGCTGCACCCCCATGGTTCAGCACCGAGGACCTGTGCCCCACACACCTCCCTGGCTGGGAGCGGGGGTGCGCACCGGGCTACACAGAGGAGGGGACCGCTTAGCAGATGAGGTTCCTGGAGGAGACAACCTGCCATGTGTCCACCCGGGGTCCCAGGATGGGGGCAGGCCCTACCTCTGCTGTTCTAGCACCTCCTCCAGCAGGCTCCGGCCCTCCCGGCTGCCGGCTGCAACGCCGTGCAGGCCTGGGTTCTGTGCAGGGGCGTGGAAGGGGCTCAGGCCGCCCCTGCTGGCCCGGCTGGCTGGGGCCTGGCACATCTGGCGAGCCAGACCCTTGATTTTGTTCAGCCCCAGAAACCCCTTGGTCCGCGTGGTCTTCCTCAGCTGCTGCCGAAAGGCCTTCAGCCCTGCAGAGAGAGCAAATCAGGAGGTCAATAGCCTCCTGGCTCCTAGCCCAGCATCCACAGCCCTTGGCTTAGGGGGTCTCCAAGCCTCAGGTGGGGGGTAAGGAAAAGACGGGTGACACAAGCATGGCCGGACAGGAGTCTGGCACCCAAGCCCCAGGATGGCGAGGAGGCAGCTGGCAGCCAAGGCCCTCCCTGACCCCACGCCTCCTCCAAGTCAGGAGGTGCTGCCCAACACAGAGTTGTCTCCTGCGCTTTCAGAACCAGCCACAGAGGCCACGTGCTCAGGGACCCACATATGTGTCCATCCCAGCAGGCCGTAACCCCCCGAGCCACCAGAGCACTGAGCACCCCAGCCCGCCCAGAGCACTGAGGGTCCCACCCAGGCCCAGTGGAGAACAGGGGGACAAAGTCACGTGCTGCCAGAGACACACACGGCTCCCCGGGGAAGGTGGAGGTGCGTGTGGGAGGAGCGTGGCTCACCCTGAGTCAGTGAGGTGTCCGACGCCCGCCGTCCCTCCTGGAAGCTGACAGGGAGCAGAACAGCTCCTCCCAAGGCCCCCTGAGTCGGCAGCACCGGGGTGGTGGACTGTGACCCCAGGAAGGGTGAGGCCAGCCTGATCGGGGAGCAGGTGCCCAACAGCCCCTGAGTGGCCGGGGTGCCACTAAGCCCCACAGGACTTTTGCTCGCAGAGAAGGTCAGACAACTGTCAGAGCTGGTTCCCTCTGCAGGACTTGCCGAGGCGGAGGGGGAGACGACTATACCTGTGGGAGGAGGACGGCGCTTTTGATGCTGCAGTACGGGCTCCCCCACCCCTGCTGCGCACCCATGGCTGTGCCGGCCTCCCCATCCCTGCCCTCAACCTGGTGGGAAGAGGGCTCGAGGCCACCAGAGCCCAGGGAGCCCCAAAGGCAGGCCACCATCACGGTGCAGCTGCAGGTGCACCTCAGGCCAAGGGGCTGCCCTCCCAGTACCCGGGGCGGCCTGGGGAGAACCCTGCTGGAGGCTAAATCCCACGCTGTATCCTCCACCAGAACGACCACACGCAGAGCAGGCTCTAAGCATCAACTGTGTGGTCTCAGGGATTAAAACAAATGGCAAATCCTGAGAAGTTCAACCTAAGAGTCTGCCAGGCAAAACATTCATTCTAAATTAGCCCACCCTCACATCGACTGTAAGGCTATCCACCGGTGTCCTCCTGGGCCTCCGGGACACTTACATGGAGCGGTGAGTGGGGAGAGGCGGGTGGAGACCTCGGCCAGGGTGTGCCTCCGGCCCGTGCTGCTGGGCAGGGACTCCTGCACGTCCTGCTCCTCCTCTAGGCCTGGCCCCTGCCCGGCCTCCTCACTGATGGCTGTGTCCAGCAGGCTGCTGGGGGACACGGGCCGGGACTGGAACACTCCGCTGCAGCTGGCATCCACCGGGAAGAACAAGGGCTGGGTTGGAGAGACACAAGCCAGTGACTTGTTGGGTTCCGGGTGACCCGGGCGCACTGGGGGCACCAGGGCTAGGCTGAAGCGAGCCCTCTCCACACCCACTGTGGGCACTCACCCACTGCAGCGAGCTCTGGAGCTCACAGTCCATCTCGGCCTGCAGGACAGACTGCACCAAGGTCTGCGGCTGCGGGCACAGCAGGGCGGGTCGGAAAGGGTCAGTGGAAAGGCCTTCCTGAGGCACCTGGAGCTGGCAGACGGGAAAGAGGCCATCAGGGGAGCGGCTCCGGGACCACCAGCGCCATCGAGAGAAGAAACGAGCTGGCTTCTGTCTGGAGTGCGAGCTGCCCTGCTGGTGGGCGTGACAGCTGACAGGGACACTGGCTGGCCGGGCTGGGCTCAGGACCATGTGCTGGTGCTGCACTGCCAGGAGGCGGCGTGACAGGCCGGCCCCGGGATGAGTCAGGGACAAGTGGCCTCTGGGCAGGGTCCAGCCCCCGGCAGCTGGCACCCCCTTCCCCACACGGCCTGGGACCCAGTGCCCATGCAAGGAACCGCCCTCCAAGCTGGTGCCTGACGGGACAGGGTGCCTGACGGGGGAGGGTGCCTGATGGAGGAGGGTGCCTGAGGGTGGAGGGAGCCTGGGGCCCGGGAGGAGACTCTTCCCCCTCACCTCCAAACCGCTGAGGTCCGAGCTCCGAGGTCGCGGCTGCCTGGCAGGCCCGGGGCGGGCACATTGGGCATTCCGATACTCCTTGAGCCGCTCGAGGAGGAGGTAATAAATGGCAGCGAAGTGGTTATAGCTGCTGTTTTGCAGCGACTGGGAATGCGAGGAGCAGAGGTCAGCACGGGGCGGCGGGGAGCCCCAGGGTCCACCCGCTCCCAGGGTATTCTTGGGTGACTGAGAATATCCTTTAGTGGGGTGGACAAGCCTGCCCCTAAATTAGCCTGCGCTCCCGTTTTAACTCGGCTGGTGAGTGCCTGCTTCCCGAGACAGCCGCCCAGCCCCTGCGGGTGAGGCCAGGGCGAGTGTGGCCGGGCTCACCTCCACCGTCCTCTGCCGGTCGACGCCCAGCGTCTGCATGATACCCAGCGCCTGCTCGTCGTAGTCGCCCAGGTTGGAGCTGTAGCTGTGCACGGAGAAGGTGGAGCAGGCGGGTCCTGGCAAGCAGGGCTCAGCCCGCATCCACCGGTGCTGCCGGATCTGGGCGATGGTGATGCGCCTGGCAGGGTCCACCACCAGCATGCGGCGGATCAGGCTCTCACAGTCTGCGGAGAAGCAGGAGGCTGAGCCAGGGCGGCGGGACCTCACCTGTGCTCCCACCCACCGCCCCACGTGGTTTGACACGCCAGGGGCCAGGAGCAGGGGCCGGGCCATCGGCTCAGTCCTGCCACCGAAGGGGTGCCACCAGCCAGGGATCCAGCCCCTGGGGTCCACCATACTTTGTGTCCACCACACAGAGAACCACTTAGGTCCACCCTTCTGCCATGCCCCGCGCCTGAGCACCACGTGGACAGGCATCTTTATGACACAGAAAAGCCAGGTGTGCCACAGCCAGTGGACTGAACTCAGGGATGATGCCAGCGCCCTGGGCGTGGGTGCTGGGCGGGGACAGCAGGCATGAGGCACCAGCCTGTGCAGCAAGGGCACCTGTCCACCCTAGAAATAGGGTACTGAGAAGGCATCTACGGGCTGGGTTTCTCCTGCAGCCCACAGTAACCTGGGCCTGATTCCCAGACTCAACGACGACTCAGAAGCCAGCCACAAAGGGGCTGCAGGAGACACAGGCCCCTACCCAAGCGAGACCACACGACCCACCTTGAGACATGAAGAAGGGGATGCGGAAGCGGCCCTCCAGCACCCGCTGTCTCAGCGTCGGCAGGTTAGGCCCGTCAAAGGGGAGAGAACCACAGACCAGGACATACAGCACCACACCCAGGCTCTGTTGAGGACCACAGAGCCACGTCAGCGCCAGCGCAGTGCCCCTGGGAACCCAGCGCCCCCGGGAACACAGCGCCCTCAGGGAACGCGGCCTCGGGAATGGGGTCTGCGCGCATGCGGCTCCTACCCAGATGTCCAGCTGGGGGCCTTCATACTCCTTCCCCTCAAAGACTTCCGGGGCGGCATATGGGGGGCTCCCACACCACGTGGACAGAGGCTCTCCTGACTTGTAGAAATTCCCAAATCCAAAATCTGAGATGCAAAGAAACAGACAGATGAGATTAAATGGCAAATGGCAAGGGGCTGTGCTTTAGGCACATGCCGGGAAGCTGGGGCCGCTCGTGGGCGCACCCCCACCCCGGGCCCTCCGTGCCGCCAGCTTGATGTCCCTGCTCCCACCCTGGGCCCTCCGTGCCTGCCAGCTTGATGTCCATGTTGCCATCCAGCAGGAGGTTCTCGGTCTTGAGGTCCCGGTGGACGATGTGATGGTCGTGACAGTACTCCACGGCTGACAGTATTTGCCAGAACTTCTTCCGTGCCTCGTTCTCACTCAGGTGCCCGTTGGAAGTCAAATAATCTGAGGAGCCACAAAACAAAGCTACAGCCCCCAGGGCAAAGCCTGCCCACTACCCAGAGGGCCCTGGAGAACACCACGAGGTCCCAGGATGTGTGGCCCAAACACTGGCCGTGCAAATCCAGACACGTTCGTGCCACCGGTTTTCAACAGATGTTAAAAATGAGTGTGGCTTACCAAACATTTCTCCATTTTTAGCAAATTCAGTGACGATATAAAGCATATCCTTTGTTTCCATAACCTAAAAAAGAAAGACCTGACATTTAACCACACAAAAAAGGCACAAGGCAGTGCTACAAACAATCCACCAGAACCCCAGGAGATTTCTAACTTCTCTAGGACAAAAGCATTCATGATTTAAAAATGCAAAGAAAAGAAAAATTTCTGCAATTAAAAAAAAAAAATACAGGAGATTCCTCCTCATAAAGACAGCTTTAAAAAATCAGAGGTGAATTCCTCACTGACTTACCTATCCTGAGACACCTGTGCTCTCACAAAAGGTCTAAATATGTTAGAATTCTCCTCTGTGGTCATACTGAATTCAAGTCACCTCACATACAATTTGAGAATGCTTAGGCCGGGGCATGGTGGCTCACGCCTGTAATCCTAGCGCTTCGGGAGGCCAAGGCAGGAGAATCGCTTGAGCCCAGGAGTTCGAGACCAGCCTGGTCAACATGGCAAGATGCCATCTCTACAAAAAATACAAAAACTAGCTAGGTGAGGTGGTGGGCGCCTGTAATCCCAGCTACTCAGAAGGCTGAGGCAAGAGGATCGTTTGAACCCGGGAGACGGAGGTTGCAGTGAGCCGAGATCGCACCACTGTACTCCAACCTGGGCGACAGAGCAAGACTCCATCTCAACAAAGGAGAGACAGATCTCTGAAGGCTACAGAGGAAGGGACTGCTGGGAGTCTGCTGGGCTTTATAGAAGCCTAGCAGGCAAAAGATGAGTCCAATCAATGGTCAGAACCACCTGAGTAATAGAGAACGCACACCCCATTCCCACTCGCTTGACTGACAGAATGAATGAGGCTGTGGGAACCCAGCTTTACTGACAGGATGAATGAGGCTGTGGGAACCCAGCTTTGCCAGGTCAGCTGCAGTGGGCTGCGCAGTGCACAGCCCATCACTCAGCATGTAGCCACCCAACAACCATGCCAATATAGCCCTTCCAAGTTCATTCACTGATCAATAACTTTATTTTACTTAAAAAGAGATTTAAAAATATAACATATGTCTGTGAGTACTGAAAAATTTTGGAGAGGATGAGACAGTATATTCTTATGAAAAAAGATTTATTTGGGTTCAAAATATACAGTTATTCCTTTAAAAAAGATGCTTTGTGCTGGAGGCAGTGGCTCACGCTTGTAATCCCAGCACTTTGGGGTTACCCAGGCTGATCACTTGAGGTCAGGAGGTCGAGACCACTCTGGCCAACATGGTGAAATCCCATCTCTACTAAATATACAAAAATTAGCCAAGCATGGTGGCCTGTGCCTGTAGTCCCAGCTACTTGGGAGGCTGAGGCAGGTGAATCGCTTGAACCCGGGAGGTGGGGGTTGCAGTGAGCCGTCATCAACTGCACCACTGCCCTCCAGCCTGGGCAACAGTGAGACTCCATCTCAAAAAAAAAAAAAAAAGATGCTTCAAAGATTGCTGCTTTGAGTTGTAAATCTAGTAAGAAAAGTGTTCTATAAATTCTAGCAGTTTGGCAAGAATTTTAACTGCCCCGCCCCTGTGTGTGGTGGAATAACTCTAAGACCACTGCTTACCCTGTCCCCAACTGAAGAAACAGAGAAGGAGGAAAAGAATTAAAAGTCAAAGTGTTTAAACTTTTTGAAAGTCTAAAAACGTTCAGCAGGGTTCTGGGGCTCCGGCCAGCGTAATGAAAATTAGACACTAGAGGCTGGGCACGGTGGCTCACGCCTGTAATCCCAGCACTTTGGGAGGCCAAGGTGGGCCAAGATCACAAGATCAGGAGATCCAGACCATCCTGGCTAAAATGGTGAAACCCCATCTCTACTAAAAATACAAAAAATTAGCTGGGTGTGGTGGCGGGCGCCTGTAGTCCCAGCTACTTGGGAGGCTGAGGCAGGAGAATCACTTGAACCCAGGAGGTGGCAGTTGCAGTCAGCCGAGATTGCGCCACTGCTCTCCAGCCTGGGTGACAGAGCCAGACTCCGTCTCAAAAAAAAAAAAAAAAAAAAAAAAAGACAGGAGGAAAGAAAAGAAAAGAAAATTAGACACTAGCGTCAAAACCAGAGGAATAAAAGTCATTGCTACACCACTAAATTCTATCATCTCCAAACAGTTAAGAATCACATACAGCAGAAGTAAGAAAATGCACCTCCAGAAAAGACCTCCAGCACCAACCGCATGGCAATTTGTTTCTTTAACGAGCTAATTCCACACAATGGGAAAGGAGAAGAACAGGAAGAAAAGGAAGGTACTTCCATTAGGGTTCAGGCCTTGAGCAAAGTCAGAAACAAAACCAGCTCAGCCCACTCCTGAGGAAATGGGCTGGGCACGCTGCACAGGCAGTACACCAGTACCATGGAGCACACAACTTAAAAATGACAACAGAAACAAAACACAAACCAGGTGAACACGGCATGAATTCTGTGCTTAAAGACGCTGAGCAAACTGTCGTCACGGTGAACACAAGCTCCGCCAATACTGCTACTTTTATTTTAATCTAGTGCAGAGGCTTTTGGAGGATAATTTCAAATCATAATTCTCTCTCCTACCACACTGTACACCGAGCCGTCCCAATCGCACAAACACACACAACATCCCAGAGTCATCTCACATTCCATTTCATACGAATCATTAAGAGGAACTTCAACCCAACACAAATGGATGAAATAGCACCTGCAAAGAACTTCTTCCGCAAGAAGACTTGATTTCACCCCTGCAAAAGTGGCCATTTATCATTACGGAGGTGTAAATGATTGCTTTGCTGTTCTAATTAGATTAGTACTTATTTCCTGATGATATAATTTATTAATTCAACATGAAAACAAAAATTAAGTCACAAAATAAATAAGTCACAAAATAGGTAGGGCAAGGCATGTTCCTAGCGTGGATTAAATGACAAGCTCCTTGCTCTTACTATGGAAAAGTATTTTCATCTCTCTTTTTCATGGAAGAGTTTAAATAGGGAAAACAAATGCTCACTACTGTCCTTGCAAAAATAAACTCATGAAAACCAGTAAGAGCAGCTGGCTTTAAAGTTTAATAATTATCTGCAAAGGTGGAAGTTTCCAGTTTCACTCAAATTTGTCCTTTTATACTAAATGTGTGACCTGTGGCAATACCTACAGATGCATTCGTCTGTTTTCATAGTAAAGCAAATTTACAACAGATCTCTACACATTTAAAACTGGATCAGGTTAGGATACTAAATAAAATTCTAATGAAGCAAATCTCAATTATGATCCAAAAGCAATAATTGCAAATATATCTGCACAGCCTATAAAAATCAGTCTATTTACCTTATATAACCAAATGCCCAACTTCCACACACCCCGCAAAAGGGAAGCCACCTTCAGAAACTGCAGACTTCCGTTGTTGGAAATAAGATACAACACATTTGCCAGGATTAGCAGAGAAAGGCAAGCTGACCCCTTACCTGGTAGAGCTTTATGATATGTGGATGGTTCAGAAGCTTCATCAGCTGAACCTCACGATAGATTTTCTCCAAACTGCTTGAATCTAATCGTGTTTTATCAATTATTTTTATTGCAACCTACAGATTTTAAAAAGAAAAAGGATATTTTGTTTTGTTTTGTTTTTTTAAAAAAACCCTCAACCTAATTTACTAATTTACACATTTCATCTTTTGTAAGTTAATTTCTCAACACTTTGTCTACAAAGGATCACAAGAAGTTGGGAAAACATAACCAAAGCAACCACTAATGTTATTTAAAATAATCCGAGTTAAGTTAAGTGCATTAAGTATTTGCAGGTTCACTTTACAGGGCTTAGCTCTGAGTCCATGAACCACTGCACTCTCAGGTTGGTCCTTTCTTTGCCAGTATCCTCTCTGCTTTCTCCCAATATATGTGCAAATTATGCAGCAACATAAAGCATTTTTTTTCTTTACCGAACTAAAAACGATTACTGTTCACCCACCACGACAATCAAGCCTGGAGCACTGAATCTGCATGGGGTCCACCCGCCAAGGGTCGGTCGCCCCGGGCCCAGTGGGAAGACACCGCCGGCTGGGTCCCGCTGCCCCCACGCACCTGCGTTTTGGTGACTCGATGCCGCGCCAGCTTCACCACCGCGAAGTTGCCTTTACCCAGGGTCCGCTCAATGTCGTAAAAACCCACCCGGAGGGGTTTCTGCAGGCCCTGACCCTGGCCCGCCGGGTCCGCGCTGAACTCCGACATGATAACCATGGCTCCGCGCGCACCTGCGGGGCCGCACAGAGCTCAGAGCCCACCAGCGCCCCCGCCGCTCGCGGTCGGCTCCACCCGTGCCCGCGGAGCCCCCAGTCCCTACGGGACGCGGGGACCTGCTCCCACGCCTGTCGCCCTCACTCTATCCACGGACCCCTCCAGCCCCTTGGGAAGTGTGGAACCGCCCCCGCCTCCCGCGGTCCGCTCCACCCGGACCCCCGACCCTCTGAGCCCCGCGGGGCGCGCGGACCCGCTCCCAAACCCGCCCCCGCCGCCCGAGTTCGGTTCCGTCCCGATCCCGGGACCCCCTGAGCCCTGCTTCCACACTCACCTCCCACCGCCCGCTGTCGGTTCCGTCCCCACCCCCGACCCCTTAGCACCTCTGGGCGCGGACCCGCTCCCACACCCGGCCCTGCCGCCCGAGGTCGGCTCGATCCGGATCCCAGGACCGCCCCTAGCCCCGCTCCCACACCCGGCCCCCGCCGCCCGCGATCCGTCCCGTCCCCACCCCCGACCTCCCAGGCACCTCGGGGTTCGCGGACCCGCCCCCCACACCCGGTCCCTCCGCCCGCGGTCGGCTCCAATCCTACCCCCCGGCTCCCCAGCCCCCGAACCCCGCGGACTCACTCCTACTCCGGCCCCCGTAACAAAGGGGAGCCCGAGGGCAGCGAGGCCGCCAACACCGCCCGGGACCCCCCGCGCGCGCACGGCCGGGGACCCTGCGCGGTGGCCGCAACCCCGAGCCCCGGCCCGGCGACAGCGCGGAGCCCCCACGGCGGCCACCTCCGCCCGCCCGGAGCCCGCCGCTGCCGCCGCCTCACCTCAGCCGCCCCCGGAGCACCCAGGCCAGGAAGCCGCCCGCTCGGCCGCTCGCGCTGCTCGGGCGCCTACTGCTCCGGCCGCCGCCGCAGCTGCTGCCGCCTCCGGGTCCGCGCCGCATGTCAGCCCGGAGCCGCCGCGCTCCGTCGCCACTCTGGGCGTGGACCCGGCTCCCACACCCGGCCCCGCCGCCCGAGGTCGGCTCGATCCGGATCCCAGGACTGCCCTAGCCCCGCTCCCACACCCGGCCCCCGCCGCTCATGATCCGTCCCGTCCCCACCCCCCGACCTCCCAGGCACCTCGGGTTCGCGGACCCGCTCTACACTCCGGTCCTCTCCGCCCGCGGTCGGCTCAACTTACCCCCGGCTCCCCAGCCTGAACCCGGCGGATCACCTTACTCCGGCCCCGTAACAAAGCGCGGGAGCCTGAGGCAGCGAGGCCGCCAACACCGCCCGGGACCCCTGCAGCGCACGGCCGGGGACCCTGCGCGTGGCCGCAACCCCGAGCCCCGGCCCGGCGACAGCGGAGCCCCCACGGCGGCCACCTCCGCCCGCCCGGAGCCCGCCGCTGCCGCCGCCTCTTCACCTCAGCCCCCGAGCACTCCAGGCCAGGAAGTTGCCTGCTCGGCTGCCTGGCGCTGCTCGGGCGCTCACCGCTCCGGCCGCCGCCGCAGCTGCTGCCGCCTTCCGGGTCCGCGCCGCATGTCAGCCCGGAGCCGCTGCGCCTGTCGCATCGCGGCGCCCGGCTCTGCCTCGGCTTCTCCGCCCCGGCCTGCTTGCCCCCCGCAGGCCCCGCCCCCCGCCCCGCCCCCGCCGCCCGGGCGGGGGCCGCCCATTGACGTCGCTTTGACGCCAGAGCGACGCGCTGCCGAGCGCCGGGAGGAGGGAGAGCGGGAGATCGGGCGGTTGCCAAGAGACTGGCGGCTCTGACGCGCGCGGGATGAGGCCGTTGCCCTGGCGACCGCGGGCCGGTGACGTCAGGGGCGCCCGCCGCCCGAGGCCCGCCCGCCTGTGCTCCGCCGGGCGCCCCCTCCCGGGCGCTGGGGGCACTGCGGGCGGCCCCACCGCCGCGGGCGCGCCCGCTCCTCCACGCGCGGGGACTCGGGCCGGGTCCCGCGGGCGCCTTATGCTCGCTCCCTCCGGGAGGGGACGGCTCTCGGGCAGGGGTCGCCGGCCCCTCCACGTGACCCGCGTTCGTCCCGGCTCGGAACCTCCGGACGTGCGGGGGCCCGGGGACCTCGCGGGCTCGCGCGTGGGGCTGGCGGCGCGGAGGCCCCAGGGCGCTGCAGGGCGCGGGGCCACGCGAGGCGCCGCGGCCACACCCAGGGCGCCCTAGGCCCCGAGAGGCCGCTTGCCCTCGGGGACGTCAGCCGCTTTTGCTGTTATAATCTCACATGTTCAGCAAGTTAGAAACTTGAAACCTAAGGAAGCGTGGCCCGCCGCTCTGGAAGCCCAGCCGCGCAGCCGGTCCTGGCCCCGGCCCTCAGCGGCGCTGGCGTCTGCGCGCCCCGGGGCTGCCCCGCAGCATGTGGGGCTGGCACCCTGGTCCCGCGCGGGCCCGGGCGGACGCTGCGGGCGGTGACAGAGCCAGGCCGGCCGCCTGGGGAGGGGACGGGGACGCGGGACCACTTCCCTGCCCGCGGTCCCTGCCCGCGGCCGCTGCCTCATCCGAACGTAAAATGTTTTCTCCAGGGCAGACAGAGGCTATGGGCGAAGGTATTTTTTAAGCCTGAGGACCCATTTGGGAGTTAGATTCTGGATCGCGCCTAGGGTCATTTTTCCTTGTGTTAAATAACACTACTTCACAGAAGGGGGAACGAGAATTCAGGGAAGTTGGCACAAAACTTGGAACCCTTCTCGGGAGGCTTTCCTGCCTGGGCGGACGCCTGGGAGGAGGGCCCGGAGAAACTAGGATGAGCTTCTCCTGATTCGCCCCTGCGGTCTGACTACAGATTTCCCAATCGCCACACACACACACACACACACACACACACACACACGGGGGTTGTTTGGGAGTCAGTTGGTTTTCAAAGGCTTTCAAGGAAGAGTCCCAAAGTTTTCCTTAATCGTTCAAAGTGCTTTTTCCTTTGTCCCAGGTTTATACACCAAGAATACAGGGGAATGTTTTTAGTTCTTTTCAGCTGAACAGTTGACATCTGCCTTTTTTTCTTCTGGAGGCCCCAACACCCTGTTAATCTCCTAGGAGAGCTAACCAAAAACAAGGCTGGACGCCGTGGCTCCCCCCTGTAATCCCAGGGCTTTGGGAGGCTGAGGCAGGAGGATCACTTGAGCTCAGGAGTTTGAGACCGGCTTGGACAACATAGCAAGACCTTGCCTCTATAAAACATTTAAAAAATAGCCAGGTGTGGTGGCGCAGGCCTGTGGGGCCAGCTACTTGGGAGCCTGAGGTGGGAGGATGGCTTGAGCCTGGGAGATTGAGGCTGCAGTGAGCTGTCATTGCACCACGGCACTCCAGCCTGAGCAAGAGAACAAGGCCCTGTCTCAAAAAAGAACAAAGATAAAAGGCTGGGTGGGGGAGAAACCAGGCCCCTGATCATACTCACCATTCAGTCCCTCAGCCTGTGACTTAAAATATCTGCCCCCCTCATCCAGGAACCAGGCTTCCCCACCCCTCCCACCCTAGCCAGAGTCTTCCAAAAGGTCTTAGGTATTTGCAAACACCTGGCTGACTGTTTGGAAACAGTTCATCAGCACCAAATAAAAACTGCAGCCAAACCTGCCTCCGCAGAACAGGTCCCCATACTCAGGTGCCCTTGACCTTTCACCTCAACCCAGCCCTGAGCTTCCAAAACCCCGAACAGCCCTGTGCCAACCATGGTCATCCTGTTTTCCCTTCCCTGGCCCCGCAGGCGAGGAGCTTGCTCTGCAGAGAAAGGCAGGAAGCACAGAGGAAAAGGCAAGCTTGGAACTGCAGTCCCGTCTCCCCAGTGGGGGAGCCCCTGGCACCCTCATAACTAAGTCTGTGCTTCAACCAGGCCTCTGCTACCCAGTGTCTTTCACTGTTATTTGTGTCCTTGATCCCCGGAAGCTGTATTTCCTTTCAGAAGCTTTGATTTGTTTTCTGTTTTCTGGTGTTCCATGCTTTTAACACATTATGAGGAAAAATAAAACACATGGTGTGTGAGTCTAAGGATACAAGCAAATGATTCAAGAAACTCCTCACTGAACGTAATGGAAGGAACGCTCCCAAAGTCTGCAGGAATGGTACTTTATTATTATGGTTTGCATATTATTACAGATTTGTGGATAAGTTTTCCTTTCCACGTGGAGTTTCTTCAGCCTGCCTTATGATTGCCATGTTTCTGGAGTTCATCTTGTTTTTTAGGCCTTAAGACTGGAAACCCCAGCAGGAAATGGGTTCGTTTAATATTCATAGTTGCAGCGTGGGCCACAAGCATGTCATAAAACTCTCAAAATAAATTGATAAACACAGAGAGTGGAGCGTGGGCCAGCATTTTTACAGAGGGATGGGTGCGCAGCTGGCCCCAGCGCCGCCCTCGGTGAGGAAGGAATCTCCTGGTGCAGCCAGGAGTCAGACAGGTTCCTCTTCCCGACCCTCCCCTCCCCTCTTTCATGCCCAAGGCCCTTCCCTGTGCTCCTGGCTTTGCTTCAGGTGGTTTTGTACTTTTAAAATTTTGTTTCGTTTTTTTTTAGGCTTCAGCCTAGTGGCTTTAGGTGCTAGAAAATCAGATTAACCACTGCAGTGGCATCCTTCTCAGGGACCCAGGGGGCCACATTGGTCATTTTGCCCCATTGTATCTGGAGAGCTTGACAGGCGTGTGTGCACTAGGTCAGGAAGCCGCGGCCCTGGCCTGGGAAGGGCAGGTAGGAGAAAAGCCCCCAACCCCCTCCACCCTCAAAGAATGGCCCAGTTGTCCACAGGTTAAGTCAATAACCCGCGGTGAACAGGTCAAACCAGAGACTGCCCAGTCCCAGCGTCTGCCCCCGGGACGTTGTCTCCTTCGCCTCCTACACTGAGGCTCCTTGTGGCTCTGTGGCTGCCACAGTTGTGTGGGTCCTACTGGGCGCAGGGCCCCTCCCCATCTCAGACAGCACCCACTTTCAGGCTAGGCCTTCCGCAGGCCGCTTAAATGAACCACGAAGGCCAGCAAAGCAGCAGCAATGTGCCTGTTCACAGGCCAGGTGGCCCCCCCGCTCCAGCCCTCTGGGGTTGCTGGTTCCGATTTCTGTCGCTGCCGTTAGTGAGGAATTATTTATGTGGCCAATGCGTTTTCCTGATATTTAAGCAGGGCCATGGCCGAGATCAAGGCTGAGGACCCAAGAGGAGGCCTTTGGTGTCTGTGTCCCTGAGCCATATGCTGAGGTCAGAGGGCAGGGGAGGGGGGTGCAGGAAGGGACCAGCCCTAGGGAGAGTCTGCCAGGCCCCAAACAGAGCCAGGGGTTCCCCCAGGGGTGGGGGGGCTCACTTAGGAAGAGCACCGTAGACAGCCTGGCAGGGGGTCGCCCTATGCTGAGCGGGCAGCTCTGGAGTAACCACCCGCCTCACTGCAGGAAGAAGGAAACCTTCTGCAAATGGAGCAAAGGTCCCCAGAGGCAGAGCAGAAGCCTCTGGGATGCTACAGCCTCGTCCAGATGCGGGGACCAGGACTGGGGCCCAGAGCAGGCCGCAGGTGCTGGCCATGCCCTTTATCCTGGGCACTCTGCCAGGGCCACACGGAGCGCGGATCCCGGGAGATGGAGATGTCTGAGTGGCAGCTCTCGTCTCGGTGTTTCCAGGTGACGTGCTGGCTGCTAGTGTAGAGCACGCAAACCACCTTTTTTTTTTTTTTTTTTTGGTTACTATTTACTCATGCAAAAAATGTGTGAGTTTCTGCCATTTGCAAGAAGCGTGCCAGCTGCAATGAGTCAGCGGGTGGACATGAGTGAGCATGGCCAGACTGTGCCGGGACATGGTGACAGACAGACATGCTTCGAAGGTCACTGTGGGAAGGGACAGGCCCCCAGAGAGAGGTGAGACGGTGCAACGCGAGGGTGAGTTCGGAGTCATCCTCCAGATGTCCTCAAAGGCTCGAGAGGCCGTGCTCTGTGTCAGGCGCTACGTGAAGGTTGTGGGCACAGTGGGAGTGACAAGACACCTTCTCTCGAGGACCGTCGGTTCCAGTTACGGAGACAGTAACAGCATAAGATGATGAGTAAGGAAAGAATGCTGGCC